ATCCACTGTGATCATCAGGCAGGCGAAAAAAATAAAAAATAAAAAATGAACAGGTAAGGACAAATACTGTAGTATAAGAACATACACTGTAAACGGTTTCCAATATGTACATGTAAGGACAAAAACTGTAGTATAAGAATGTACATTGTACAGATAATGAGAGCAACAGTGAAGATAGCACAGACAAAAGCAAAGCGACACTGGACCCGGTTTCCAGTATAGACTCCACAGTTGCTTCTCAGAATCTAATCTATTAGACAAACAACGGGTGTAGTTTGTGACAGTCGCAATCTAATCTACAGAGACGGATAGTAAGCGACACAAAAACAGACAAATAAGACTCTTTCAATTGGTTTTCAGCAGAAGTTAGTCCAACATTGACGATTTACAGACAACAAATGTAATAAAAGGGACGCTACGGAGCCAGTTTCCAGCAGGTGCAGCTCCCCACCAATAGATGGAGCTTTCAACTAGGGAAACACTTCAGCAGGATGCTCCTTTTTTTTTTTTTTTCCCTTTTTTTTGGTAGTAAACGTCGACGAGATGCCTATTACTGGAGGTGATAGGAGCACTCTCCAATAACAGGCTCTCTGTTATAGATGGCTCCGATCTATTGGTGGGGAGCTGCACCATCTGGAAACCGGGTCCGGCGTCCCCATTACAGAAAAAAGGGAGCAAATTATGCAGGCGGCATGGATGCTCTTTTTATCACCTCCTCAAACCACCAGTGCATGGCCCCAGCCTTACAGAAATTACAGAAATTTGTTTGTCACCCACTCCGACAAATTTTACGGTTCGGGCCCTTCCACACCACCATGGCTGGCGGCACCAGCCAAAAGAAAACGAAGCGCACTGCCGGTGGTTCAGAAATGCCGGGAGCACAGTGCGGCTCCTCCAGGCTGGGTGGACTCCACCAAACTATTGACGCCGAGCGCACAGTGCAGCTCCTCCAGGCCGGGTGTACTGGTGGTTTAGACCACCAGGACTCCAACCACCAGTGCTCCGCCCAGCTATTGACGCCAAGCCTAAATTGGCCCTGCGCGCCAAAAAAAGAAAGGAACCGACGCCGGCTTGTTTTTTGCTGGCGCCAGCAGCCGTTTTGGTCCGGTACCCAAACCCCCGACAAATGAGGCCGTTAAACCACAAGTACCTCCTGAAAGTGCTCCGCGTTAACGGCCAGCCAAAAGTGGAAATCGCGCCGTTTCCACTTGGCTGAATCGGGCCTACCGGCCCAGGCCCGTTCATCCCAAAATCCATGCCCGTTAACGCGGAGCACTTTCAGGAGGTATGGTGGTTTAAACCGCCAGTCCACCCGCACCTAAAATCCCGAACCTACCTGCCCAATGCGTGCCACTATTTTCCGAGCCTTCTGCGAAGGGGAAAAAAGAAAAGAAAAAGAAAGGAACAAACAAGCCAGAGATCAATGATGTCGTGGAAGGCCGTAGCGGAGGCCGTACTCAAGTGATCACTTTCCAGAATGCATCTGACCACTATTACGGGAAGAGGGAACGTTGCGGTGTTTTTGTTTTTTCTGCTTTTTTTCTTTTCCTCCTTTCGCTGCCAGCAAGGCAGCGCACCTTGTGCTAAAAACGCCCCCCCTGAGGGCATACTCACACTAGCCGTTGAAATGAATCCAACCGCTTTTTTTTTGTCTGACAGTCGTGCTCCCCGTGTTCTTCCTTCTGCCGAAGTGCCCTCACTGAGGGCAGGCTCACACGGAGTACTCCAAAAAGTGTATCCAACTGCAATCACGGCCAAAGCTTGTTTTGTTTTTTGGGACGTGTGGATTTGACATGGGCCCAAAATATCGAAAACCTTCTGACGCTCCGACCCTGCCCCCAGCCCGCCTTTTACTTCCTCTGGCGCAAGTCATTTTGCTGCAAGCCTGAGGCCGTGTACTGGTGGTTTAACAAGCTGTGACTTCGTTTTTCAAGCCGGGAAAGGTACTGGTGGTTTAAACGGTGCCTCTCACAGGAAGTTCAGGGGAAAAACAAAAAAAAAAACAAAAAAAAACATAACCACCACATGAGGTCCATGGTCCTTCCATTATCAGGGATTGGCCGAATGGAATGAACCAGGTTTCACTCCAGTAGACTATGGAACCTACCTATGGACCACGACTCATTCACAGGCACCACTGTCCATGCATGAGGTCTACTAGAATGACCCTCGTCCGAACACAGCAAATAGAGGGGGACCACAGGAATTTACCACAGCAAATTGAGACCTGCTCAAAAAACATGCAAGATTCCAGAATACTTGCTGAATGATGCAAGGCCTCCAAGGTCGACTGGAATAGAAATCATTCCAAACATTGACAATACAACTTGGTCCAAACATCGAGGATTTCTGCAGTCGGGGAATGATCGTAACCCACCTGATTCCATGGGAGTTGTAGCTTTTGGTACTGGCGGGACCACGCCAACAAATTAGTCCCCAATCGATGCAAACCACGTTAAGCGCCTCTTAAGTCCCATTTATACACCCCCCCACCAGACCTAACAGACAAGACTGAAAAACAAAAGGGAGCTGGGATTTGGGGTGTGCTTCAGATGGACAGACAAAAGCCACACTGATGGAAGAAAAAACAACAACAACACTAATTCCCAGAGGGTTTACATGCCTGGGGTACCCTGCGGGCCTGTGCGGCTGGATGATCAGGCAACCTAATCGGTTGCCTGGCCGTGCACCCCTCTGCCTGTCTATTCTCCCGCCTATTCTGCCTGCCTGCCTGTGGCTCACCATGGGGTTCTCTGTGACAGCTGGTGGAACCCAAGCGAAACAGTCCGTCACAGCCCCCACTTCTTGTCCTTTCCCCCCTTTCTGTCTACAGTCCACTGCATGGTTCTTTGTGACTATATATATTGATAATATCGTCAAACAGAACCGCCCGATAAAGCGTAAGGCAGAGAGGGAGGAGAGGACAACAAATGAGTGGCTGCGACAGACTCTTTCGCCGGAGTTTCACTGACTGATGCACACCAAACCCTGGACTTGAACCTTGGACCTCAAACACCTGAACCAGGTGGAGTAAACATGGTTTCCCCTTGCCCTTGGTTCGCCGCAGGGAATTGAGAACAATTGGCAGGATATCATGCGATAACGCATGATATCAATCACTCAGGGTGTGATCACGACCGTTTCTCCTCAACAGTTATACATGGGACGGACGTGGCACCTGTTCCAGCAAGCTCGGTTCATAATTCTGATCCGGGCTTTTGACGACGACCAGCTTGGTGCAACTCGGGACTCGTAAATAGACCACGGCGGGGCTCACTTATGTCCCAACACTCGACTGATTTTGTACTTACCCTAGCCCAGCCTGATGTGTTGGACGACTCACAGTAAATGTATTTACCCTAGCCTGATCTGTTAGATGACTCGCCATAGTGGTGTCTGCTCTTATCAGCACCCCTAGCATTCACTCGGATTGTTTTCTCAAAAAAAAAAAAAAAAAAAAAAAAAAAAAAAACAGTAGCTCCAAGCAACCAAAGCGATCAATAACGCAAACACTTGAGCAAGCCCACAAGCATGTAGATGAACAGACGAACCCAAACACACAAAACCCCATACCCATACCCATACCAAGTGAGGAGAGCATAACAGCTATGGCATACAAGTAACAAGAATGGCAAAGAATAGCAAGATACCTCTCACTCAACTTGCTCCTGCTGACACTACAAAAAAGGCCCCAGGAGTCATGCAACCCTGAAATCAACAATGAGTGATCAAAATTAATTCCCTACAGGTAATTCACATTCCATTGATGCAACCTTACCTTACCACGCTGCCCCTGGCTCCCCCCGTTCCCCTCATCCCCCCCTTGCTTCACACCCCCTCCCCCACCTTCTTCTTCTCCCTTCCCCAAGCCACACGCCCCCTCGCTTGCAGTGATCGAGTTCATCCAAATTGCTCCTCTCCAGGCGAATGACAAAAAGGTGAATCCATCACATTCAGAAAGAATTGTTAACTACAAAGAGGCGCTGGCCGTGCCTCAAAAACCACATCAAGATCATTAGCCCATATAAAATACAGCTCAGGAATAATGCAACTCCGAGTCTCCGAATCGAATATCGTCATCCAGATCCCCCCTAAAACCTCCCCCCCCCCCCCCCCCCCCCCTCTCTCTCTC